CTTACACTTAGCTCATAGTTAAAATGAAGGCACTGATTGTGTTGTATACAGTTGAAACCAGAAGTTTACATACACTATAAAAAGACGCATACGCTTTTTTTTCTCACTGTCGGACATGAAATCAGACAATCACTTTTCCTGTTTTAGGTCTGTTAGGATTACCAAAATTATTTCTATCTGCTAAATGCCAGAATAATGAGAGAAGGATTTTTTTAGACAATTTTTTATTACTTTCTTCAAAGTCAGAAGTTTACATACACTAAGAATACTATGCCTTTAAACAATTTGGGAAAGCCCAGATGATGATGTCATGTCTTTGGAAGCTTCTGATAGGTTTATTGACAACATTTGAGTTAATTAGAGACACACCTGTGGATGTATTTTAAGGCACACCTGAAACACACTGCTTCTTTGTGTAATATCATGGGAAAGTCAAAAGAAATCAGCCAAGATATCAGGAAGAGAATTGTGGACTTGCACAAGTCTGGTTCATCCTTGGGTGTAATTTCCAGATGCCTGAAGGTGCCATGTTCATCTGTTCAAACAATTATACGCAAGTATAAACACCATGGGAATGTCCAGCCATCATACCGCTCAGGAGACGGGTTCTGTGTCCCAGAGTTGAACGTGCTTTGGTCCGAAATGTGTATATCAACCAACAGATGATGCTGCCATCCCTCTATTTCACAGTTGGGATGGTGTTCTCAGGCTTGCAAGCTTCCCCCTTTTTCCTCCAAACTTAACGATGGTCATTATGGCCAAACAGTTTGATTTTAGTTTCGTCAGACCACAGGACATGTCTCCAAAAACTAAGGTCTTTGTCCCTGTGTGCATTTGCAAACTGTAATCTGGCTTTCCTATGTGTCTTTTGGAGTAATGGCTTCTTCCTGACAGAGTGACCTTTCAGCCCATGTCGGTACAGTACTAGTTTCACTGTGGATAAAGACACACTCTTACCAGCTTCAGCCAGCATCTTCACAAGGTCTTTTGCTTTTGTTCTTGGGTTGATATGCACATTTCGGACCAAAGCACGTTCAACTCTGGGACACAGAACCCGTCTCCTTCCTGAGTGGTATGATGGCTAGACACTGCCATGGTGTTTATACTTGCGTATAATTATTTGAACAGATGAACGTGGCACCTTCAGGCATCTGGAAATTGCACCCAAGGATGAACCAGACTTGTGCAAGTCCACAATTCTCTTCCTGATATCTTGGCTGATTTCTTTAGACTTTCCCATGATGTTACACAAAGAAGCAGTGCGTTTCAGGTGTGCCTTACAATACATCCACAGGTGTGTGTCTCTAATTAACTCAAATGTTGTCAATAAACCTATCAGAAGCTTCCAAAGACATGACATCATCATCTGGGCTTTCCCAAATTGTTTAAAGGCATAATAATCTTAGTGTATGTAAACTTCTGACTTTGAAGAAAGTAATAAAAAAATGTTCTAAAAAAATCCTTCTCTCATTATTCTGGCATTTAGCAAATAGAAATAATTTTGGTAATCCTAACGGACCTAAAACAGGAAAAGTGATTGTCTAATTTCATGTCAGACAGTGAGGAAAAAAAAGCATATGTGTCTTTTTATACAGTGTATGTAAACTTCTGGTTTCAACTGTACATATGTTATGATGGTAATCTATTGTGAATCAGAAGTCCCTAGCAGTTTTATGTAATGCATCTAGAAAGCTGATGGTAATGGGATATTCAGGACAGATTTTAATGGTTGATGGAGGAGGAGGAAATATTGAATTTGATGATTTTGTCGTTGAAGTTTCGTGCCTGTTGGCTTGAACTTAACTTTAGAAATTTGACATTAAGAACATACATTAGTGTAATTAAATATTATGCAGTGATAACATCGGACTTAAACTTGTTTTTCATATTTTGAAATGTTTGCAGATGACCATGAATGCAGCTGATGCTGTCATTCCTGTGGAAAGCTCCCACCATGCTGTCTTGTTAGAGACGCAGATGACTGAAACTTTGAGTCCATGAGACACTAATCAACAGGTACATTCATGTTTAGCACTTAAACTTTACTTCTAGAATATTTCTAACTCACCGTTTGTTGCTTTTTATGCCCTTTAAGCAGGTAAATAAGCTGTTTTTTTAAATGCATCTAGAAACATAATGGTAATAGGATATTCAGGACAGATTTTAATGTTCATAGGGATGTTACTTTTGATTAAATATCACTCTATTCTGGGACATTCACGACGTCCCCATAGCACATCTTACATCAGTGTATGAATAGAAGCTGTGTGTTAAGTATCTGACAACCTAGAGACTTGGTCTAGCATTGGTCCCCATAAGGAACCACGACATGGTGTGTGATATGTCCCCACTAAGCTTGTTTATTCAATATGTGTGAAAACAGGCAGAGGTTGATGGAGGAGGAGGGAATATTGAATTTGATGATTTTGTCGTTGAAGTTTCGTGCCTGTTGGCTTGAATTTAACTTTAGAAATTTGTCATTAAGAACATGCATTAGTGTAACTAAATATTATGCAGTGATAACATCGGACTTAAACTTGTTTTTCATATTTTGAAATGTTTGCAGATGACCATGAATGCAGCTGATGCTGTCATTCCTGTGGAAAGCTCCCAGCATGCTGTCTTGTTAGAGACGCAGATGACTGAAACTTTGAGTCCATGAGACACTAATCAACAGGTACATTCATGTTTAGCACTTAAACTTTACTCCTAGAATATTTCTAACTCACCGTTTGTTGCTTTTTATGCCCTTTAAGCAGGTAAATAAGCTGTTTTTTTAAATGCATCTAGAAACATAATGGTAATAGGATATTCAGGACAGATTTTAATGTTCATAGGGATGTTACTTTTGATTAAATATCACTCTATTCTGGGACATTCACGACGTCCCCATAGCACATCTTACATCAGTGTATGAATAGAAACTGTGTGTTAAGTATCTGACAACCTAGAGACTTGGTCTAGCATTGGTCCCCATAAGGAACCACGACATGGTGTGTGATATGTCCCCACTAAGCTTGTTTATTCAATATGTGTGAAAACAGGCAGAGGTTGATGGAGGAGGAGGGAATATTGAATTTGATGATTTTGTCGTTGAAGTTTCGTGCCTGTTGGCTTGAATTTAACTTTAGAAATTTGTCATTAAGAACATGCATTAGTGTAACTAAATATTATGCAGTGATAACATCGGACTTAAACTTGTTTTTCATATTTTGAAATGTTTGCAGATGACCATGAATGCAGCTGATGCTGTCATTCCTGTGGAAAGCTCCCAGCATGCTGTCTTGTTAGAGACGCAGATGACTGAAACTTTGAGTCCATGAGACACTAATCAACAGGTACATTCATGTTTAGCACTTAAACTTTACTCCTAGAATATTTCTAACTCACCGTTTGTTGCTTTTTATGCCCTTTAAGCAGGTAAATAAGCTGTTTTTTTAAATGCATCTAGAAACATAATGGTAATAGGATATTCAGGACAGATTTTAATGTTCATAGGGATGTTACTTTTGATTAAATATCACTCTATTCTGGGACATTCACGACGTCCCCATAGCACATCTTACATCAGTGTATGAATAGAAACTGTGTGTTAAGTATCTGACAACCTAGAGACTTGGTCTAGCATTGGTCCCCATAAGGAACCACGACATGGTGTGTGATATGTCCCCACTAAGCTTGTTTATTCAATATGTGTGAAAACAGGCAGAGGTTGATGGAGGAGGAGGGAATATTGAATTTGATGATTTTGTCGTTGAAGTTTCGTGCCTGTTGGCTTGAATTTAACTTTAGAAATTTGTCATTAAGAACATGCATTAGTGTAACTAAATATTATGCAGTGATAACATCAGACTTAAACTTGTTTTTCATATTTTGAAATGTTTGCAGATGACCATGAATGCAGCTGATGCTGTCATTCCTGTGGAAAGCTCCCAGCATGCTGTCTTGTTAGAGACGCAGATGACTGAAACTTTGAGTCCATGAGACACTAATCAACAGGTACATTCATGTTTAGCACTTAAACTTTACTCCTAGAATATTTCTAACTCACCGTTTGTTGCTTTTTATGCCCTTTAAGCAGGTAAATAAGCTGTTTTTTTAAATGCATCTAGAAACATAATGGTAATAGGATATTCAGGACAGATTTTAATGTTCATAGGGATGTTACTTTTGATTAAATATCACTCTATTCTGGGACATTCACGACGTCCCCATAGCACATCTTACATCAGTGTATGAATAGAAACTGTGTGTTAAGTATCTGACAACCTAGAGACTTGGTCTAGCATTGGTCCCCATAAGGAACCACGACATGGTGTGTGATATGTCCCCACTAAGCTTGTTTATTCAATATGTGTGAAAACAGGCAGAGGTTGATGGAGGAGGAGGGAATATTGAATTTGATGATTTTGTCGTTGAAGTTTCGTGCCTGTTGGCTTGAATTTAACTTTAGAAATTTGTCATTAAGAACATGCATTAGTGTAACTAAATATTATGCAGTGATAACATCGGACTTAAACTTGTTTTTCATATTTTGAAATGTTTGCAGATGACCATGAATGCAGCTGATGCTGTCATTCCTGTGGAAAGCTCCCAGCATGCTGTCTTGTTAGAGACGCAGATGACTGAAACTTTGAGTCCATGAGACACTAATCAACAGGTACATTCATGTTTAGCACTTAAACTTTACTCCTAGAATATTTCTAACTCACCGTTTGTTGCTTTTTATGCCCTTTAAGCAGGTAAATAAGCTGTTTTTTTAAATGCATCTAGAAACATAATGGTAATAGGATATTCAGGACAGATTTTAATGTTCATAGGGATGTTACTTTTGATTAAATATCACTCTATTCTGGGACATTCACGACGTCCCCATAGCACATCTTACATCAGTGTATGAATAGAAACTGTGTGTTAAGTATCTGACAACCTAGAGACTTGGTCTAGCATTGGTCCCCATAAGGAACCACGACATGGTGTGTGATATGTCCCCACTAAGCTTGTTTATTCAATATGTGTGAAAACAGGCAGAGGTTGATGGAGGAGGAGGGAATATTGAATTTGATGATTTTGTCGTTGAAGTTTCGTGCCTGTTGGCTTGAATTTAACTTTAGAAATTTGTCATTAAGAACATGCATTAGTGTAACTAAATATTATGCAGTGATAACATCGGACTTAAACTTGTTTTTCATATTTTGAAATGTTTGCAGATGACCATGAATGCAGCTGATGCTGTCATTCCTGTGGAAAGCTCCCAGCATGCTGTCTTGTTAGAGACGCAGATGACTGAAACTTTGAGTCCATGAGACACTAATCAACAGGTACATTCATGTTTAGCACTTAAACTTTACTCCTAGAATATTTCTAACTCACCGTTTGTTGCTTTTTATGCCCTTTAAGCAGGTAAATAAGCTGTTTTTTTAAATGCATCTAGAAACATAATGGTAATAGGATATTCAGGACAGATTTTAATGTTCATAGGGATGTTACTTTTGATAAAATATCACTCTATTCTGGGACATTCACGACGTCCCCATAGCACATCTTACATCAGTGTATGAATAGAAACTGTGTGTTAAGTATCTGACAACCTAGAGACTTGGTCTAGCATTGGTCCCCATAAGGAACCACGACATGGTGTGTGATATGTCCCCACTAAGCTTGTTTATTCAATATGTGTGAAAACAGGCAGAGGTTGATGGAGGAGGAGGGAATATTGAATTTGATGATTTTGTCGTTGAAGTTTCGTGCCTGTTGGCTTGAATTTAACTTTAGAAATTTGTCATTAAGAACATGCATTAGTGTAACTAAATATTATGCAGCGATTACATCAAATTGAACACTTGTTTTTCATATTTATGTTTACAATTACAATATTTTAGATGTAGTTATATTTTAAGGCTGTCTTTCAAACGTAAAAAAAAGTCAATGTTTTGCCTAAACTTACAAATCGCAAATGTTGTAAATTTGATTTGTCCTAATTATTCAGATTCATTTTCAAGGTATATTTTTGTGACAGCACAAACGGTGTGTTTGCAGACAAAGGAATATTATCTATGTTCAGAAGTATAAACATTCACCAAGTCAGACTTCAGTTTCAAAATATTTTCTTGTGTTTAGACTTTTGCTGTTTTTAGGACCATTTGTTAACATCACTACTCCAAATATTTAAGTGTGTGAGAAAAGTATAATATAACATTTGCAATTAAGTGGTTGATTAACACTGTAGGAATTTTAAACAATTTTAATTGTATTGTCATAATATAGTACACTGGGATTGTGTTCAGTTCCAAGGATATATGTCTAAGTAACTTCTTTTTTGTCCTTAGATGAAAGGCACAGATGTTGAAGATTCAAATGAAGTATCCGACTCTATACAAGTTTGTATTGTTGCTTTCAGTTTTGTCTTGAGAGAACGCAAATGAGCAGGACTCAATAAAAAGTTTAAATGTATAATTTAAATGAGAGTTTGACTTCTTGAACTAAGGAAATTATTTTTTACTATGAAGTAATGCAGCAAACAACACAGACAAACATGAATACTAGTTTTAGGGTTGTTGAGTATTCTGTGACTGAGAAGTACAATATTCCACAGTTTCTGGGTAGTTGACTGTGGTTAAAAATAAGAACCATGTGAGACGTAAACAAAGAATAACCCTTACAGTGAAATTAAGGTTGAAAAGTTTGATGGGTGAGACAACAATTTAGTAATTCACTACTAAATTCTTGGTACTTAAGTGACCCCTGATATCAAGATTAAGTTAGAACAATGTCTCTAGTATAAATGATATGTAAATCATTTGATTCCCATTTTATTTGTATAACAAATTGTATGTTTACCCTGTTTTCGCTATAAATAAAAACTAAAAAAGTATATTGGTTCTGGAATAAATAATGTTATTGTGTTATGTACAGTACTTTTGTGCAGTTTGGTTTACAATGTGGAATTGTGATTCACAACAGTATCCAACCCTACTTAAGAATCCTCTTATATTACCACAAACCACGAGCACAGTAGTTCTTAAAGCTTAAAATACACATTTTCTTTAGTGAAAATATCCTAATGACACACTTTCTGCATTAATTTTGGTGCTGCTAAAGTAGATTATATCATTTGCATTATTGTGGTTTAATTCTAGTATTTGGTCTGATGCCTGTGGATAGCAGCTTGATAACTTTATGAAAAATCTATTATTAAAGACATAACCTGGTTGGTAGAGGACAGCTCCATTGCAGCTTCATAGCAGTTTACAGTACGAAGGAATCACAAAGTGGTTATATTATGCACTGCCATTGTTGTAGTGAACCTTGTGATCAAAAGAAGACAGGTAAAATGCAATAATCTGAGGATTATATCACTTAAGCTTGTTGTTTTACCATGGTCCCCATTAATCAATTGGAAATCTGTGTAAATTATGCAAATTATATTTAAATGAGGTCCCCCACAAACATGTTTACTGGATTTTACATAGGTCCCCAGTTAGCATGATGAAAACCTTACTTCATCAATTCAGATATTTGAAGTCGTGTATGAGCTAACCAACCAATGGTGAGTGTGCCTGATTTTTTTCATACCTCTAGAACCTCTAGAAAGGGTGGTCCCCGCAAGTGATGATCAGAAATTTGGTCCCCATTGCAAATGGTAACCAGTATGTGTGTGTGTGTGTGTGTGTGTGTGTGTGTGTGTGTGTGTGTGTGTGTGTGTGTGTGTGTGTGTGTGGAGAGTGTGTGTGTGTGTGTGTTGGCATTCATCACGTCCTGGGGACAACAAACTGTTTACACAGTCACGTCATGGGGACCTCTAACAGTATGGGGACGAAAAATGAGGTCCCCTAAAGGGAAACTCTTTTAAATGAATGCAGGAGTCTATCTGAAGGTGCCTGTGTGGTTTTTAGCTTTGGCCCATTGGGCATGTTTTCCAGTTAGTGTGTGTGTGTGAACGGGGCATGCTTGCGCCCCTTACTGTATGAGCTGGTAAGGCACTCACCGTTCCACACACACAGATCTTCCAAATATGGTATGTTACCGCCCACTTCCTGGTCCCCATTAAGAAGGATTTTAGGAGCAAACACAATTTTCAGTGTTTAAAGGGAGCATCGCAAAGGCCCTTCAATTAAAGATGTTTGTCACATAAAAAGAGGAACTACAACACCACAAGGTAAGCAATATTATCTTATTTACTTACTTGCTATAATCATTATTTGTATAGATGACCATTTTAAACCACTAATGAGGTTAATTAGTGTTAATTAGTTAGTAGGATAGCTAGTTAGCTTTAATTAGCAACAGAAGGCTAGTGTAACTAGCAAATTTACAATGTTTTACTAACAATGTTTTTAGCTTTCCCTGAAAGCTACTGTTAGTTGTTACATGATGGATGGATTCTGTGCATTTCTAGGAGTTTATACCAACTAAAAAAAGTGAAATATTTTTCAGTGTGTAACAGAGAAATTTAAAATACATTTCCAGGTAAGGAATTTAGTAATATATAGAGGTGTAACTTAATCCTAGGTATATATAGGTGAGATATATTATAGAAAAATTGTAAAGAGATGTTTTGATGATTTAAAGCAAGCTGTCCATGTTAAGAGAAAGTGCATCTGGACAGGTATTTTTGGGACCTGAGCTTGACAAGGCTGCAATTTGATGTTTGTATCTTTAAAGTGACTAGTGAAGTGATTCCACATGCCTCCTCTACATAAATGGGTCCTGATTGATTATACTACCTGAAAAAAGTAAACTTAGCTTACTTATAATTATTAATATTATTTTATTATTAAAAATGAATAATTTAGAATAGGGCATGGCAAGAAGGGAAGGCATCTGACACTGAGCCGACAGGAAAGGGCGAGTATGGGGAAAAAAGTTATAGAGCTAAGCCTCTGAACACCCACACAGTTTTTTCAGTTTATCTTGCTGATTATTAGTCTTCTTGGGACTGTATGGGTGTGTATACTGTGATTGATTGACATCTTCCTGAGTCTTCTGTCAGCTTTGTTACACCTGTTAGGGCAGGACAAAATATACCTTCACCATTCGTATTGGAGATTTAGATTTGTGACCTCATGGAGTTTCATCAAAGCTTAAGCCCACCCTAAACCTGAGCAGAGGTCTAATCAGCCATAATAACTGAAAACACCTGTGTGGATGTTCACTTAGAGCCTCTAATTGTATTGTAATAGAACTAAAGCCAAAGCTGTCTCATTAAACATTTCTCTGCAGTTTTAAATGCCACCAAGGTCAGTCCTCTTAAGGATGCCCTTCAGCATGTTCACTTCATATACATATTGAAAATGATTTTGAGACATTTAATTGCAAAACTTCAGGATGCATTAGATAAGCTTAGGTCAATAAAGCTGCCATCAAATGCACTAATAATTGGCAATTGTGTTTTTAGGACATATTGCCACAGACTAATTAACATTTGTAATGTCCTGTTTTTTTTGAAAATGTATTACTTTGTCTTACAGGACGTGGTGTATTTGCCCTATCTTCATTCTTCAAAGGAGATTTTGTACTGGAATACAGAGGAGACATGATAGATGATGCAGAATCTCAAAGGAGAAGGTGCATTTATCACTCATCATGTGTTGCATTCATGCTTCATTCAAGTGGAGAGGGAGAACATGGTGGTAAGATTTTACATTACACCTAAACTATACTCCTTATGCTAAACCATAATAATCTCCTTACACTTAGGTCATAGTTAAAATGAAGGCACTGATTGTGTTGTATACAGTTGAAACCAGAAGTTTACATACACTATAAAAAGACGCATACGCTTTTTTTTCTCACTGTCGGACATGAAATCAGACAATCACTTTTCCTGTTTTAGGTCTGTTAGGATTACCAAAATTATTTCTATCTGCTAAATGCCAGAATAATGAGAGAAGGATTTTTTTAGACAATTTTTATTACTTTCTTCAAAGTCAGAAGTTTACATACACTAAGAATACTATGCCTTTAAACAATTTGGGAAAGCCCAGATGATGATGTCATGTCTTTGGAAGCTTCTGATAGGTTTATTGACAACATTTGAGTTAATTAGAGACACACCTGTGGATGTATTTTAAGGCACACCTGAAACACACTGCTTCTTTGTGTAATACCATGGGAAAGTCAAAAGAAATCAGCCAAGATATCAGGAAGAGAATTGTGGACTTGCACAAGTCTGGTTCATCCTTGGGTGTAATTTCCAGATGCCTGAAGGTGCCATGTTCATCTGTTCAAACAATTATACGCAAGTATAAACACCATGGGAATGTCCAGCCATCATACCGCTCAGGAGACGGGTTCTGTGTCCCAGAGTTGAACGTGCTTTGGTCCGAAATGTGTATATCAACCAACAGATGATGCTGCCATCCCTTTATTTCACAGTTGGGATGGTGTTCTCAGGCTTGCAAGCTTCCCCCTTTTTCCTCCAAACTTAACGATGGTCATTATGGCCAAACAGTTTGATTTTAGTTTCGTCAGACCACAGGACATGTCTCCAAAAACTAAGGTCTTTGTCCCTGTGTGCATTTGCAAACTGTAATCTGGCTTTCCTATGTGTCTTTTGGAGTAATGGCTTCTTCCTGACAGAGTGACCTTTCAGCCCATGTCGGTACAGTACTAGTTTCACTGTGGATAAAGACACACTCTTACCAGCTTCAGCCAGCATCTTCACAAGGTCTTTTGCTTTTGTTCTTGGGTTGATATGCACATTTCGGACCAAAGCACGTTCAACTCTGGGACACAGAACCCGTCTCCTTCCTGAGTGGTATGATGGCTAGACACTGCCATGGTGTTTATACTTGCGTATAATTATTTGAACAGATGAACGTGGCACCTTCAGGCATCTGGAAATTGCACCCAAGGATGAACCAGACTTGTGCAAGTCCACAATTCTCTTCCTGATATCTTGGCTGATTTCTTTAGACTTTCCCATGATGTTACACAAAGAAGCAGTGCGTTTCAGGTGTGCCTTACAATACATCCACAGGTGTGTGTCTCTAATTAACTCAAATGTTGTCAATAAACCTATCAGAAGCTTCCAAAGACATGACATCATCATCTGGGCTTTCCCAAATTGTTTAAAGGCATAATAATCTTAGTGTATGTAAACTTCTGACTTTGAAGAAAGTAATAAAAAAATGTTCTAAAAAAATCCTTCTCTCATTATTCTGGCATTTAGCAAATAGAAATAATTTTGGTAATCCTAACGGACCTAAAACAGGAAAAGTGATTGTCTAATTTCATGTCAGACAGTGAGGGAAAAAAGCATATGTGTCTTTTTATACAGTGTATGTAAACTTCTGGTTTCAACTGTACATATGTTATGATGGTAATCTATTGTGAATCAGAAGTCCCTAGCAGTTTTATGTAATGCATCTAGAAAGCTGATGGTAATGGGATATTCAGGACAGATTTTAATGGTTGATGGAGGAGGAGGAAATATTGAATTTGATGATTTTGTCGTTGAAGTTTCGTGCCTGTTGGCTTGAACTTAACTTTAGAAATTTGATATTAAGAACATACATTAGTGTAATTAAATATTATGCAGTGATAACATCGGACTTAAACTTGTTTTTCATATTTTGAAATGTTTGCAGATGACCATGAATGCAGCTGATGCTGTCATTCCTGTGGAAAGCTCCCAGCATGCTGTCTTGTTAGAGACGCAGATGACTGAAACTTTGAGTCCATGAGACACTAATCAACAGGTACATTCATGTTTAGCACTTAAACTTTACTCCTAGAATATTTCTAACTCACCGTTTGTTGCTTTTTATGCCCTTTAAGCAGGTAAATAAGCTGTTTTTTTAAATGCATCTAGAAACATAATGGTAATAGGATATTCAGGACAGATTTTAATGTTCATAGGGATGTTACTTTTGATTAAATATCACTCTATTCTGGGACATTCACGACGTCCCCATAGCACATCTTACATCAGTGTATGAATAGAAACTGTGTGTTAAGTATCTGACAACCTAGAGACTTGGTCTAGCATTGGTCCCCATAAGGAACCACGACATGGTGTGTGATATGTCCCCACTAAGCTTGTTTATTCAATATGTGTGAAAACAGGCAGAGGTTGATGGAGGAGGAGGGAATATTGAATTTGATGATTTTGTCGTTGAAGTTTCGTGCCTGTTGGCTTGAATTTAACTTTAGAAATTTGTCATTAAGAACATGCATTAGTGTAACTAAATATTATGCAGTGATAACATCGGACTTAAACTTGTTTTTCATATTTTGAAATGTTTGCAGATGACCATGAATGCAGCTGATGCTGTCATTCCTGTGGAAAGCTCCCAGCATGCTGTCTTGTTAGAGACGCAGATGACTGAAACTTTGAGTCCATGAGACACTAATCAACAGGTACATTCATGTTTAGCACTTAAACTTTACTCCTAGAATATTTCTAACTCACCGTTTGTTGCTTTTTATGCCCTTTAAGCAGGTAAATAAGCTGTTTTTTTAAATGCATCTAGAAACATAATGGTAATAGGATATTCAGGACAGATTTTAATGTTCATAGGGATGTTACTTTTGATTAAATATCACTCTATTCTGGGACATTCACGACGTCCCCATAGCACATCTTACATCAGTGTATGAATAGAAACTGTGTGTTAAGTATCTGACAACCTAGAGACTTGGTCTAGCATTGGTCCCCATAAGGAACCACGACATGGTGTGTGATATGTCCCCACTAAGCTTGTTTATTCAATATGTGTGAAAACAGGCAGAGGTTGATGGAGGAGGAGGGAATATTGAATTTGATGATTTTGTCGTTGAAGTTTTGTGCCTGTTGGCTTGAATTTAACTTTAGAAATTTGTCATTAAGAACATGCATTAGTGTAACTAAATATTATGCAGTGATAACATCGGACTTAAACTTGTTTTTCATATTTTGAAATGTTTGCAGATGACCATGAATGCAGCTGATGCTGTCATTCCTGTGGAAAGCTCCCAGCATGCTGTCTTGTTAGAGACGCAGATGACTGAAACTTTGAGTCCATGAGACACTAATCAACAGGTACATTCATGTTTAGCACTTAAACTTTACTCCTAGAATATTTCTAACTCACCGTTTGTTGCTTTTTATGCCCTTTAAGCAGGTAAATAAGCTGTTTTTTAAATGCATCTAGAAACATAATGGTAATAGGATATTCAGGACAGATTTTAATGTTCATAGGGATGTTACTTTTGATTAAATATCACTCTATTCTGGGACATTCACGACGTCCCCATAGCACATCTTACATCAGTGTATGAATAGAAACTGTGTGTTAAGTATCTGACAACCTAGAGACTTGGTCTAGCATTGGTCCCCATAAGGAACCACGACATGGTGTGTGATATGTCCCCACTAAGCTTGTTTATTCAATATGTGTGAAAACAGGCAGAGGTTGATGGAGGAGGAGGGAATATTGAATTTGATGATTTTGTCGTTGAAGTTTTGTGCCTGTTGGCTTGAATTTAACTTTAGAAATTTGTCATTAAGAACATGCATTAGTGTAACTAAATATTATGCAGTGATAACATCGGACTTAAACTTGTTTTTCATATTTTGAAATGTTTGCAGATGACCATGAATGCAGCTGATGCTGTCATTCCTGTGGAAAGCTCCCAGCATGCTGTCTTGTTAGAGACACAGATGACTGAAACTTTGAGTCCATGAGACACTAATCAACAGGTACATTCATGTTTAGCACTTAAACTTTACTCCTAGAATATTTCTAACTCACCGTTTGTTGCTTTTTATGCCCTTTAAGCAGGTAAATAAGCTGTTTTTTTAAATGCATCTAGAAACATAATGGTAATAGGATATTCAGGACAGATTTTAATGTTCATAGGGATGTTACTTTTGATTAAATATCACTCTATTCTGGGACATTCACGACGTCCCCATAGCACATCTTACATCAGTGTATGAATAGAAACTGTGTGTTAAGTATCTGACAACCTAGAGACTTGGTCTAGCATTGGTCCCCATAAGGAACCACGACATGGTGTGTGATATGTCCCCACTAAGCTTGTTTATTCAATATGTGTGAAAACAGGCAGAGGTTGATGGAGGAGGAGGGAATATTGAATTTGATGATTTTGTCGTTGAAGTTTCGTGCCTGCTTGAATTTAACATTAGAAATTTGTCATTAAGAACATGCAGTAGTGTAAATAAATACTAAGCAGCGATTACATCAAATTGAACACTTGTTTTTCATATTTATGTTTACAATTACAATATTTTAGATGTAGTTATATTTTAAGGCTGTCTTTCAAACGTAAAAAAAAGTCAATGTTTTGCCTAAACTTACAAATCGCAAATGTTGTAAATTTGATTTGTCCTAATTATTCAGATTCATTTTCAAGGTATATTTTTGTGACAGCACAAACGGTGTGTTTGCAGACAAAGGAATATTATCTATGTTCAGAAGTATAAACATTCACCAAGTCAGACTTCAGTTTCAAAATATTTTCTTGTGTTTAGACTTTTGCTGTTTTTAGGACCATTTGTTAACATCACTACTCCAAATATTTAAGTGTGTGAGAAAAGTATAATATAACATTTGCAATTAAGTGGTTGATTAACACTGTAGGAATTTTAAACAATTTTAATTGTATTGTCATAATATAGTACACTGGGATTGTGTTCAGTTCCAAGGATATATGTCTAAGTAACTTCTTTTTGTCCTTAGATGAAAGGCACAGATGTTGAAGATTCAAATGAAGTATCCGACTCTATACAAGTTTGTATTGTTGCTTTCAGTTTTGTCTTGAGAGAACGCAAATGAGCAGGACTCAATAAAAAGTTTAAATGTATAATTTAAATGAGAGTTTGACTTCTTGAACTAAGGAAATTATTTTTTACTATGAAGTAATGCAGCAAACAACACAGACAAACATGAATACTAGTTTTAGGGTTGTTGAGTATTCTGTGACTGAGAAGTACAATATTCCACAGTTTCTGGGTAGTTGACTGTGGTTAAAGATAAGAACCATGTGAGACGT